ATTTAGTTGTTTAGTATACTTGGTTGATCTTAATGAGCACACACCCTGTCTTCAACATGACTATGTCTTAATTTCTTCATATCATGACTAGTTTGTCATGTCTCTGAACTACCAAACCCCTGTTTGTTTTGTGCATTTGTTGCTCCATACGCTCCCCTAGACCCTGTTGTATGTTTGAACTCTCTATGTCCCAACCCCTTTGACCCCTATTTGCAAACTGATTGTTGAATGATTATGACTCTAAGCATTCTAAGTCTGTGTGATTGCTCTTCCCAGAACTGATCTCAAACTATTTTTTCCACTATTAGTATTTTCTCTAAAACTGTGTCTATTCCTGAAAACCTTTTTCACTCTTGAAGTCTATTTCAACATTGTTTTATGTCAAGCACTCTCGCTTCTACTCTTAGACTATTAAGTTCTGCCCCTCTGGTATGTGTACTACTTAGGGATCCTTGAGATCTCTCTGAACTCTGGCATACTAGGGTTGGCCCTTCCACGCTGCACATAATCAATCCCCATTTGAGAAATGGTCTTGGTGTGAGCATTGTCTGGGATCCTTGAGGTCCTTAAGGAACTCTGACACACTAAGGCACACATTATTGGCTATGAGATCTTTGGCTTCTGAGATTATGTTGAAGGCCTGGCATTCCCAGGTTTACATTGAGCCTGATTTAGGCTCCCTATAACATAGTTGCATTTACTTATGTAATTCATTTAATCCTGGTCTGTAATAATATTATTTGTAAATAGATGTTCGGGTGATTAGTAAAAAGGGAGGGTTCCTCTATAATGTTTGTAGAAAACTGGTAGATATCATGTTTTAGGTTGACACATAGTAAAAATCATGCTCTTAGTTTATAAACATATTTGCAATAGAAATCCTGCTTTGAGTGCATGTTGTGATAGAAATCATGTTCTAGGCCCATATGCTATGTTGCTTTCATCAAAACATGTCATAAGTACATAATATTTGTATTAGAAAACCTGCCTTAGGACACTCACGTTATATTTTGTATATTAGAAACATGTTGTAAGTTCATCACTTCTTTATGTAACTCTGCATAAGTTATTATCACCTAGAAATCACGTTATCAAACTACTATTGTAATCATGCTTAATAAAAATAACAATCTTTATGTGCATTAGAAATCCTGATTTAGGACTTTGTTTGCATTGGCTCTAAACCATGTCTACGTCATTTTGAATAAATAACTGTCTATAAAAGGGTTTAAAACAGTCCAGCACATAGATATCATATCCTAATGTAAACATGCATAAAATCAATTTTGTAATATTAATCACTTAGACCAGCATGCCTATAGGACTAAATAATTTCAAGCTATTTAATTAGTTCCAAGATTGTGATTGCATACATGCCCACACCTAGGCAAGCCTTAGGAAATTAAATAACTATGAAATCAGGTTCTGTTTATGTGTGAAACTATACAGGTTTAACAGGCTATAAAATCAATAGAAAAACTAATTAGAATTCTGCCACTTCGCTTTTAAACAAATGCTACATATTCTGTATTTGTGACGTTTATTTAGATATCATGTTCTAAGGCTTTCTGAATTTCTTCAAAATCAGTTGTTTGAGACGTGCTGTGTATATATCTATGTGTGGAGGCAAACATAAGCCCTTAATTGCTTCTCTATTTGACAGTCCTATGTGTTCTTTGTTGTCGCTTAGATTTTACCTTTTAAATACCTTAGGAGTGTCTAGAACTGCCTGAGTATAGAGGTCTTAAACTCCTCCAGGATCACAAGGAAGGGATGGGTAAAGCACGCTTAGAGTTCGTTAATTAAACTCGCTTATATAACCACTAAGGGGAGGGTAATGGGTAGTAAAAGGATATGATGACTTGTGCGCTAATGTCACGTGTAGCCCCTCTAGTTGAGGAGGATTACCGGGCATTGTATAGATTGATCCTATAGGCTAATCAACTTAGGACTTCCTTTCCCGAATTCACATATGTGTACTTAGACTTCCTAAACTTCTTTGGCTTATGTATGTATGCTTGGACTGTTCAAACCTCCTTAATTTATGTGTTCTTAGACCATCTAAACTTTCTTGATTGTATATGTGTTTAGACTGTGTAAACTACCTTTATTTGCAAATGTATGCTTAGACCGCTTACTTGTTAAATAAACTACCTTTATTTGCAAATGTATGCTTAGACTGCTTACTTGTTAAATGACTAATTTACATAACTAAGTTCGGTCGGGACCCACCATTGTGGACCGCGAGGGGTGCCTAACACCTTCCCCTCAAGGTTNTGAGTTGTGTGTGATAAGCTTTCTTATTACCAGTTCCTAATTTCAATTTTAGATTTTCGATCTTAGCTCTAGGACAGTGGTGTCAAGTTCATGAACCTGGTTTTTCAACTCAGCATTTTTACTATCACTTTCACTAGCCCTGAGTTTCAGATTTTTGCACTTAGCTTTCAAGATTACACATTCCTTAGACAGTTGTTCCTTTTCATTGTTTATGACTTTAGATTCATCAATGAAATCTAGTAGTAACTCAGATAGACTTTTTTTAGACAAAAACTTAATCTTGTCTTTGAGATGAATCACACTTTCCTCTGATTCCTCATCAGATTTTCCAATGGCCATAAGTGCTTGTTCATCTCCATCTTCATCTTCTGAATCCTCATCTGAGCTTTCTCCCCAGACAGCAACCATAGCTTTTGTTGATCCTTCGTTCTTCTTGGGATGAACTTGTTCATTCTTCTTGTTTCTTTGTCCAGTCATTTCCTTCTTCCATTCAATTTCCCTCTGAGGACAGTTTTTGATAATGTGATCAGTCTTACTACATTTGTAGAAGCCCCTGTTGGTCTGTTTTTCAGAAACCCTTAGTTTGTTGTATCTTGCACCTCTTGACGAACCATTTCCTCTCATTAGATACTTCTTGAAATCCTTTGTGATCATAGACATTTCATCCTCCTCTAAATCAGCACCTTCAGTGATTTTGAGAGCCAGGATCCTTTCCTTCTTGGGTGCATCCATCTTCATGGTTTGCCTTCTAAGTTCATAGGCAGTGAGATTTCCAATTAGCTCGTCCAACTTGAGAGTGGAAATGTTCTTTGATTCCTGAATAGCAGTGATCTTGCTTTCTCAAGTGACTGGCAAGACCCTTGTTAAGATTTTCTCAACTTTGTCTTCTTCAAGAATAATCCTTTCAAGAGACTTAAGTTCATTTGTTAGTGTTTTGAACCTTGTATACATCTTTTGGATGGTTTCTTCTTCCTTCATGATGAAATTCTCATATTGAGAATACAACGGTGTTCCTCTTGATTTCTTCACTTGAGGAGTTCCTTCGAGAGCCACTTGCAAAGTGTCCAAGATTTCCTTAGCAGTGGTACAGCGTTGAACTCTACTGTACTCGTCTGGACTAAGTCCACACACAAGACATTTTTTGGCCTTAGCATTCTTTTCCCACTTCCTCAGGTCCTCAGCATTGCAGTCAGCTCCTGTTGTTGGCACATCTACTCCTTCAGCATTCTTCTTCAAGGTGGCCAGGGGACCATTAGTGACAATGTTCCATAGCTCATAGTCCTCTCCAATAATGTGATCTCCCATCCTGTTTTTCCACCAGGAGTAGTACTGGCCATTAAAGAGTGGAGGCCTAACAATGGACTGTCCTTCCCAGTTTTCAGATGGTGCACTCATCTTGATCGGTTCCTAAGGTGTTAGCCTCTTCAAGGATAACCTGCTCTGATACCAATTGATGCTCTATACTTCAATACCACACAAAAGGGGGGTGATTTATGTGGTGACCAATTTTTCGCTTAAACTGATTATGGAAGGACCCGGTTCTTCTATGTGTTCCTTATACTACTATTGCGGAATAATAAATGCAAAAAGTAAATAACACAAGTATTTTTACGTGGAAAACACCCAACTCAAAAGGTAGAAAAAAAAACCACGACCTACTACTCAGTAGGATTTTCCCAACACCTCACTAAATCACTGAGCCAAAACAATATTTACAAAACGCTTTGTAAACCTAAGGATTACCTCTAATCCCGTTGTAGCACATAGGCTCTAATTGTTGCGTCAACTTCAAGTTAACTCTAACTTGAATACTCTGAGTTCCTATTACAATTGCCTCTAGATAAAGCTGAAAGGTACAATATGAAAACACGTACTACAATTGAACTAGACTAAAAGACATACACTTAGAACTGGTTCTTCTATCTGGCTTGCGTAGCTTCAGGTTGGCACACTTGAATTACACATGAACTGCTTGCAAAATTGCCTTGTTGTTTTGCTCTCAATTCACGTTTAACTTCTGCGTTTGTGCAACACATTTAAAGTGAGAACATCCTGCAATTTATAGAGTTAGTAGATGAAGAAATAACTAGAGTTCTAATGCTACTCTTCCTTGGTGGAAGAGTTCTAGATGATTTCAACTTCTAACTCCTTCCCTATCTTGAATAGTGTTATCTTTAAGTAAGGAGTCATTCTCCTTATCAATTATGCAACCTTTTCGATCATGAGATATTAAATACACCAAGTTAAGCTTATCTCCTTCACGTGCATCCCACATGCTCGAATCTGCCCGTTTTTATGAACCTGAGGGATAGACCTGGTTCGTGCGTGAGCTTCGTTTGTCAATCTTTAAAACAAACCTTTACTTGGGCCAACATGTGGGCTTTGGGTAGCGTAGTGTGTACGCAACTCTTACTCCTACCTCGTGGAGGTGGAGAGACTATTTTCAGAAGAGTTTCGGCTCAAGAAAAACATATTTTCAACAAATTTGAAAAAGAAAAACAGACTACTGAAAATAAAAACGCAAAAAATAAAGCAATAAGACAACCAAGCAGGAATAGGCAAACTCAACACTTTATATATATATATNGGAAACAGCCCAAATGGAACAGCATGTCAGGCCCCCATCTGATTTAACATCATATATTTCTAGTTCTTTATAATAAAATAAATACTATAAAGCTTTTTCACGATAACAAGACAGTAGCTAAATATATAATTGCACGTTATTCTTATTACATAGTTAACTGCTCCACTTAGTAGAGAGATTAACAGTTTCTGAGACAAAAGCATCGGCGACGTAACCCTTTGCATTTTCCATCAGGGAAGCCCTCTGTATTGCAAACAGAAGCACAATTTCTGTTACTTACACACACTCCTTTGAACCGTTGGCTTTGCGACTCGCAGTTCCTTGCCTCTGCCACCATTATTGGTCCCATCTCTTCTTTTTTACACATCAAACACAATCACCAAAATAATTAATAGATCAGTTCATAAAACTATCTAAGCACATTAAAAACCTTCGGTAAGTGAAAAATGCCAATTTGGGTAAGTAAAGCTGATCCTTTATTATTTCAAGCCAGTGAGGATTAGAATGTTAGTATTGCACTTGCACTAGCTTGGTACTCTTTTATCACAAGTGATTCAAAACCCTCACACAAATATAATACTTTTAATAGTCGATTTAAATATATAAGGAAAGTTGGTATGTGTAGCTAGAAGTCCGACTGTGGATTCGACAGCACTTAATAGTTTTTACTTTGGTGTATTTGCATTAATAAATTCATTAAATATGTACAAATATTAAATTTAGAACTCAGTTATTAACAGTGTTTTAAAAGGCGCGGGCTTAAGGCGAGACATTTTACATATATCTCAGCGACGCGTAAGCCCCGAAGCACGAGGCATAAGCCCCATAGGTATTTAATTTTTAATATTTTATGAAATAATATAATTACATCAAATATTTATAAATAGGTAAAATTACATAAAAATTGAAGAAAACTTTAAATATGTAGGCAGGTAGATAGATAAATGTGCTCTATCCCCACAAAAAACTAGTCAAAACAATCTATTATACGCTACTTACAAGGGGCATTTGCATTTATACCCGCTTTTTGTGTTACATTTTAACTTGTGTCCGCTTTGCAAAAAAATTGCAAACGTACCCGCTTTTTCGCATAACTTCAGCACACGGGGCTGAAGTAGCAAAGGCAATCACGCAAAACTTCAGCATTCTAGTAGTCGAGCCTGAAGTTCAGCTCTAGAGCTGAAGTTTTTGTCTTTATAACTGGGAAATCCCACTATCAAGATGTTCTAGTTTTTGATAACTCACCCAACTTTAGTTTACTGTTATCAGATTTTATGTAATTGGATCCATCGCTCAGTTTCATCTATTGTGTACTCTGTTAACTTTCACGTTTTAAATATATCAAGAGCTACGTCTCATAGCCAAAAAAAAAAAACTCAAAAGAGAAAAGAAAATGAAGAACAAACTCCATGTGCATGGGAAAGAATGAATTTGAAACTTACTGTTAAAGGCTGGGTTCCTTGTACAGAAACATTCACGGTATTAAGTAAATTTCCAACAATGGATGACGGAGTTGTGTTTCTAGACAATGAGAAAACTGGTTTTTAATGTTATAATAATCCAAATGGAAGTCCTCAGTATATTTGCTTTAGCTTCATTAATTAAAGAGAGCAATGTTGAAGTCATCGTTGTAGAAGAAGAAAAAAGAAAATGAAGGAGGAGAAGGGGGGGGAGAAAGGGAGCTGAAGTTGTTTAAAAAGTGGATAAAAGTTAAAAGTTTTTTTAAAAAAATGGGTATAGGTTAAATGGGGGCGACCAAATAGGGCGCCCCGTGCAATTTTTACTACTTACAAGCACAAGTAAGTTGAGTCCAAATGAATATGGAGTTCTCTTTGTATTTCTAAAAAAATATATATATATTTGTTGCTTTTGGGAAATATTAACAGAATAGCAGACAAGATAAAGAATTTGAAAAAACCATGAATTAGGGCTTTAATCAATAAAAAAAAGTCTTGACTTTTAAATTTAATACATTTTAGTTCCTTTTTAAAAATTTTGAGTAATAACCAAACTGACGTTTGAGAATTTGGGTATTATATAAGAACTTATTCAACAAATTTTGTTTTAATTTGAAAAAATCTCTAGGGTTTACGCCACACTAAAAAAATCATGTCTCAAACGCCGGGCGTACACCCCGAATTACTGGATGTACGCCTTTTGAGACCTTCACCCCACTCCATCGCTTCAGGGCATTTTTGATGCGTCTCGCCTCAGGGCTCACCCCGAAAACGCCTTTTAAAACACTGGTTATTAACACTTAGAAATTTAAAATCCAGAATCCGTATGATTGTAATCCCTTGTTCCGCCTCTATGTGTATTTGAGCCAAAAACAACAAGTGCAGTTATTATATCTGAGCCGGAAGCAGTAAGTCGACAAGAGAACGTGATTTTACTGGAAAGAAGTTAGAAAGAGCAAGATATAGAAATTTTTACCAGTGGCGAAGACAACCATTAGCAAGAGGAACACAGTTGATAACAAACGCATAGAGCGCCTCATCATCTTGTTTCACTGAAAGAGTATGAGAGCTTTAGACAAACTAAAAGTAATTCTGAGGAGCTAGCATTGGGTTGGTAAGGGCATAAATATATAGGAAATTGTTCATGATTCATACTTTAAATTAGGAGTGGCAAAGGGCGGGTCAGATCGGATATATTTCGGGTCAAAACGGGTAATAAAAAACGGATAAATTAATTGACCCAGCTCATATTTAATACGAATAAAAAATAAGTTAATTAACTGGCGGATAATATGGGTAACCATATTATTCACGACTTCTTGCATATGATTACTTTTGGAAGATTTTTTACTCTCCCTAACTTGAAGAATCCCGATTTGAGGCTTTACAAATGTAAAAGTTAGACCCATTGGTTACCCATTGGTTATCCATTTTCTAAATGAATAATATGGTTGTTATCCATATTTGATCCGTTTTTAAAAAGTTTATTATCCAACCCATTTTTTAATGGTTAACTGTTTTTTTAACCATTTTGCCACCCCGCTTTAAATGTGAGCCGAATGAGTGGTTGAGGAGAATGGAGGGAAATTAGAAATATCTTGGTATATTCTTACATTGTCCTGGTGGTACTATTAAAATAAAAGATTTCTCGCAAATAGAGCACTTCTATTTTGTAGCTAAAATGCACATAATTATTTTGAGTACTGTCATAATAAATGTGGCTTCGATTGGCTTACTAGTGATTTGAAAATTATTTTTCGTACAGTTCAAATTTTTTTTTAAAATGTACAGTGTCTTTTTGACTTTAAACCAAATTCGTTTGTCAGGGAATTAAAGTATGTTTGTCGGTCAATGACTTAGTGAAAATGTCTGTTAATTAGTCGTTACTGGAGATGTAGTGAAGGAAATGTTTGTGCAATGCAACTTGGTTGTCACAAAAGATTAAAATAGGAAGAGGTCAAAGGCACATTCAATTCCTCTAAGTCAAATTATTTCAGACTCGGGGCATGCTACCTAATGAGTCACATTATGCCCCTAATGTACTGTGCAATCTTGTATTTTGCACAGTACAAGGAACATTATATGCTATGTCAAGTCTTGTATTTGTAAGGAAATTTTAATCTTCCAATTTACTTCCTGTAATAGTTAGGTTGATCTAACAGGAATTTAAAGTTCTTTATCAGCTTTTACTTTGACTAAAGGATCAATTTGCGAAGATACGTCATATATATACGGTACAGTTGAATTTATACGTAGCTTATAGGCAAGTGAATCAATTTGATCCTAAAATAATAAATATATTAGACAAAAATATAATACATAACGTTGAAATCGAGATAAGACAGTAGAAATCTTGATTCCAGGAAAAGAGTTTCCGGAGGCAGTAATAATAATATAAATAAGCAAGAAAGTAAAATATTATTGAGCTTTGAACAGAGTATAGTGTATGATAGGCCCGGGCATATATCGGGTATAACCGATAGCCCAAACTGATAAAATGTTATTGGATTATCGATATCGGGTTATTGGATAAATAGTTCGATAACGGTTTAATGTTATTTGACTATTGAGTTATCGGTTCGGGTCTCGATTTGCCAATTTTATTAACGGTTTAACCAATAGCCCAATAAGCTTTAACAAAATTATAATTTTACCCACTAAGTATATAAAGCCACCTTATGGCTTCATTCTCTTATTCTCTAAATTCTCTTAGCACTTACTGTTCATCTTCAAACCTTAATCCTTAGAGTAACTTTTAAATTTTTTTGAATTTCTCATCTTAATCCTTCAATTAAGATTTATAGTTTTTCTATTTGTTTCTTTTATTGCACTGGTTCTTTAGTATTTATAAGATTAGAATTTTATTATTTTCCTATGAATTATGCCCGCCCGCAGTGAGATAGTAAGATTAAATTGTTGAATGTCTTATTCCATACTCCTACTAACTTATAATTTTGAAAATTGAGATCATTCATTGGAATTTTCGAATGCAAAGAAAATTTTCTTTTCTAAAGTTGAAATTTAATCTATCTTTTCTTAAGAGCAAAAATTCAGTTCCATTCTCTTTAACGGTATGATACTATTTCTATAATGAAAACATGAAATTTATGGATATTTTTTATTCTTATCCGGTAAACCAATAACCGAACCGATAAGGATCGATAACCGGCTAGCCAATACTCGATACCCAATATCTTATTAGTTTGGTTATCGGTTTAGCATATCTATAAACTGATAACCGATATGCCGAACCGATAACATTCACAACCGAACCAAACCGACCGATGCCCACCCCTAGTGTATGCTTGTCAGAAAATTCGTGTCCTTTACAATGGCTGTAGAGCTCACTATTTATAGTTGCACCTAGGGAACAAGGTCCTTGGATCAAGCCCCTCTTAAATAATAATTATGAGGACCATAGAAGAATATGTAACGGTAGGCAGTAAATGACATATTCTCCGTAACGGACCATGTACTTAAGGCTATAGAATATTCTTCATTAAATGCTACCGGGTGACAGGTATTTAATTCGCCTCTATGAATACCATTCTCTTCGAGATCGTTGCCCCGCACCTGACTGTCTTCTGTCTTCGACTCCACATGTTGCTTTCTCATGCAATCATTTAATATGAACATATTTTGTCCTATACAGATAGTCCCCTGCTTTCCGATGGCATAACCTTCTGTCACCAGAAAGTTGGTAAAGATACCTTTTTTGGTGGAAAATTCTTTGACCCCCTCAGAAAAGTTTTTGACGGTTGATTAGATGCACGTCTCTCTGCATTTAATGCCCCGAACACGCGTCATCCCATGATTCAGCAACACTTTTGCTGGTTATTAAGGTAATTATGGCCGCGATTTTAGCCACTTATTCCTTTACTTATACGCATCAAACTTCTTCATTTACACTTCATAATTTTCCAAACTCTCTCAAATTCTCTTTACTCAACTCATATTTGTCTTCAACTTTCTCTAATTTTCTTCTTCAAAAAAGCCTTTTTCTCCCTTTTGTTAACAATAGCCTCTTCTTCCAGAAATCTCTATTCCTCAAAGAACAGAGGTAGTCCCGATGATGCTGCTCCTCCCACGGTGAGCACCACTATTCCAAGAAAACTTATCACAACTAAGGACTTCGAAGAGAAGTATCCTTCCACTAACCCTCGCACATGTGATGTTGGCGTGTAACCTTCTTCCATCCGTCCTTCCATCATTCCTATTGTGAAGGAAGATTGTCATTGCCATGATTTAAACATCATCTCTCCTGACCTGGCGGAGCGGATAACCTTACCCAAAGATTTCACATATTTTTATACGTATCCCTTCACTTTGGGACCGTTCTCCTTGAGAGGGGAGCCTGACTCCGTTATCATGGAGTTCTACATCTGTTACCAGGTATGCCTGGTACAAGTAAGTCCTTCTATGTGGAGGACATTTGCTTGCGTCTGTGCCAGAAGGAAGGAGAAGAGCTATCCTTGGCTCGATTAATGAACCTTTACTCCCCAAAGATTTTCAGTAGGGGAATGATAAATTTTAGCAAGTGTGGCTACCATGCTTTACTAACCGGCATGGCTGATGACAATGATTGTGGGTGGATGGAACAGTTCGTGGCAGTTGCAATAAGGGACATCATTCCAGCCATGACTCCATCCTTTCCGAAATTATGGAATCATACTCGTAAGTTCACTTTTGTCTTTTGTTCTAGTTAAAGATCGCCCCTATTGATCCTTCTTCTATCACTTATTTGAGCAACTCGGTGGACACCACCTAGGTGGTTGAAGGCTTGTACTAGTGGGTCTAGAAGATTTTGGATGTCACTACGCCCGAGACCGGCACATTGAAAAAAATGGCCCTTAAATATGGGTGGAAGGCCAAAAATCATGGTAGATCGAAATCATCTTGTCTTTATCCTTCGTATAGGAAAATTGATTAACCTTTCTCTCCTGTTGAATTCAGGTCTAACCCAGGGCTCATATGTTGTCCCTGAGGAGGACATTTTGGCTGATCCTGTTGAGGCGGCGAGGCTGTTGCAGGAGGCATTCACCCGAATAGGTGTCTCCTGGCCTGCTTCTAGTGGAAGTTCATCTTCTTGGAGTCCCTGGCTGGAGAACAAACAACAAAAAAGGCTACGTTCTTCCGCGGACGGGAAAAAAAAAATAAAAAGGCAAAGAGTGCCTGGCCCGAGCTGTCTTTGGATTGTGTGGTGATAGTCGTTGCGCTCGAGCCGGCCATAGACACCATAGTGATCGACGATGATGGAGGAGCTAGTGATAAGGAGGCTTCTCTACATAGAAGATGATGACCTTCATCAGCTCAACAGAATACTCAATCTGTTGAGCTAGTTATTCCAACCGAAGACGATCCCTTGGCGCTCTTGAGGGAATATAATATGGTGGAAAATGCTAAATCTCGCTTCTGAGTTCCAATCGCGGTGCCTGGTACCATGAGGCTGGGTATCGGGTCTCTTCCGTCTTCGGTTAATGAGCAACCAACAACCAACACTGTATTTTCTGCACTTACTTCTCAACCTACAATGCCATCAGCTTCATTTCCTTCTTTACCAACCTTGATTTCGCAACCAACAACTGCTACATCATCTCCACAGGTCGCAGTAACCCAAGGGGAGGATGTCCCTCTTCCCCAGTCCCCAGTTTATGGGAATTTGGGGCACAATCATTCTCCCCCTCCGAAGATTCCCAAAGGAGGAGGAGCGTCTCCTTCTTGGTTTCTACTGGATGTTATCTGTTGTCCTGGCCTATAGATCTTGCTAATTATCTGAAGCCTCTAGCTTCAGAAAAAGATAGGAATAAAATCCAAACTCTCTCGGGAGAGTGTTTGTTGAATAATTCCATGCACAACGCAATGGCGATATGATCTTTGTTTCCTCTATTGTTTCTTCTATCTTTGTTATGTCTGGATTTTGTGTTTGCATTTTTGTTTTGCGGGCTAACCTCCTTGCTTTCTAGGGCCTTTAAAGGTTGATTCCTCCGAGTGGGGTCAACTATTGGCCGAGCGAGACCAAACTGGTACTCGCCTCTTAGAACTAGAAGCACGAGCTTTTGAAGCCATTGAGTTGGAGGCTCGGTTGCAACAAAGCAAG